CTGAGTTTTAATTCACACTCTCTGATTAATATAGCTGTACCAGAAGCTGAGGACTGCATGGCCTAGTGGGGAGCAGCTGTCCTTTCAAGGTTAAATGAGTTAAAGTTAATTGAACATAAGAAACTCAAACTGCAAGTGAGGAGGGCTCATGCAGGGATGTTAAGAAAAGCGAGGACATGCTAAGTTAAAAAAAAAATAAAGGCTTTACATGTGGAAACATAGTAGGGTCTCTAAGATACATAGACCTGAACATTTAACAAAATAGTAGGTGCCCAAGGATGAAGTTGGGGGGGTTGTTACATTTGAAGTTTCAGAACAGGAACAGTAGGTGCTGATAAAGACTAGCTGATAACTAGGAGACTTTGGTATGTGGCAGGTGATCCAAGAGAAAAAATGAGAGTAGGTTTCAGCTTTTGGAGTGGTGGCTCTGTGAAATACAGTGGAAGTTGGGTTTTTTCATGGGCTGCTAGATGGCTCAGTTATACTGTCATGACAGACAGAAGCTAAATACTCTTAAAATCCTGATGTTAAGTGTCTAACTCTCTTATGGCCTTTTTTTTTTCTTTCCTACCTTAGAACAGATCTTCTGGCCAAATTGTGATTGGGCCCAGATGAACAATATGAATTGGAATTACTTTATTATGTATGATATTCATCTCCTAATGAGCCATTACTCACCATTTTATATTCACATACTCCTACCAATGATCTAGAAAAGAAAGGTTTATCTACATCCTGTCCATTTCATTTAGGATGTCATTCTCAGGCTTTCATTTACAGATCACTGGAGGCACAGAGAGTAGTTCTTTGTTTTTTTAAGGAAATCATTGTTCTGTACATAGTGAGGTTTTTTAGGAGTCATACTTCATAATGACTTTTAGAACTTTTTAGGTGATTTCATGACCAATTAATCTGAAATCCCTGTGCAGTTTCTTTCTTCCTGTGCTTAGAATAGCAGCTCCACATCTGTTGCTGGTAACTTTAGAGTGATCATTCAGCTTTGACCACAAATTACAAAAGAGTAAGAAGATAAATAACAGAGTCAAAATGAAATTAAAGAGTGGTTTGGTCTGCAACATTTTCAGCAGACAAAGGAGTTTTAATATTAGTAAATGCAAAACCTAGTGGTCAAAAAGATGGAAGAATACATATAGAAAGAGGAAAGCATCATAACCAAAGTAAATTAAAACACGGCAAGTATTTATTTATTTTTATTTTTTTTTAATGGCAGAAAGTGTTTAAATCCAGCACAGTTTTTCAAAAGTTGTTGATTCTTTCAAAGGTTCTTCTCCCTGTTATAAAACCTGCAGGGGGGATATTTACATGAAATCCTGATGTCTTCATTAAGGCATTATCTATTCTAAGAACATTTTCAATTATCATGATCATCATTAGCATGTTTTATAGCATGTTCATTTGTTTTTCCTCCTTCTGAAATGTTAATCAAAGATTAACTGTAAATCAATCAAAAACATTTTCTTCATTTTAAATTTAATCACAAAGTGTTGTTTTGTGTAATAAATGAAATACAAAAATGCTGAGTCATCATTAGTTCTTTTAATAATAATAATAATAATAATAATAATAATAATAATAATAATAATAATAATAATGTGAAAAACCTTGAAGTTTATAGCACTGCTAATTTGAGCATAACCTACGGTTACTTTTGAATTTTTAGCTAATATTTTTTAATAAAAAATAATTTCTTTAAAGCTTATTTCTACCCCACCAACTTAGTAATACACCTGAAAATTTAAGATTTTTTATTTTAGAAAGTTTTTCCTAACCATAAAAAATATCCTAAAAGACCACTGAATTAAAATGAGCAGACTAACTTCCCTTAAAGAAGAAACAAATTTAAAAATTAACTTTTAAAAAAATTAATTTCACTTACTCTTCTGGCTGAAGAGTTTGAATGTTAGAAATATTTGGTAAAATATTGCAATCTTATTCTTGCAGTTGAAAAAAAACTTCTATATAAATCAGGCACAAATTTTACGATACCCAAGTATTGTAAACATTCCTCAAAATCCAGTGTTGTCATGAATATAAACATCTAGCTGGAGTGTGCACAGAGAAGACCTGAATCCAACTTTGGTAATATTGCCACAGTTTTGGAAAGTGAGAGTGTATTTTATATTCATTTCATGACAATAACATTGAGTTTATGGCCTCAGTAGGAGTGAGCAGATTCAGAGTGACAGTAAATTTTAACTGTCTTTGTGGTGAGCTGACCTTGTCTGGCTGGCAGATGCCCACCCAGATACTCTCTCACTCCCATTCCTCCACAGCACAGGAGGAGAAAATATGGAAGAGCTCATAGGTGAAGGTGAAAACAGGGAGACTGGTTATGAGTTACCACCATGAGCAAAACAGATTCCCTTTGAAGGAAATTAATGTATCACTTATGGGATTACAAATAGAGTAGGAGAAATAAACTCAAAACCTCATCACTTTACTGTTACCCCCTCCTTTTTCCTTGGCTCAGCTTCATTCCTTTGTGGAATCTTCTGTCTCCTTCTCCCCTCCCTGAGTTGTGCAGGGACATGGCACAAGGGGAGTTGTGGTTGGTTCACAAATATTTGACTCTTCTACTTTCTCCTCATGTAATTCCCATGCTCCGGCATGGGGTCCCTCCCACTGGAGCCAGACCTTCACAAACTGCCCCAAAGTGAGTCCTTCCGACAGGCTGCAGCTTTTCAAGAGCTGTCTTAGCCTGGATCCTCTCCAAGGGGTAGTCCATCAGGCAGAGACACCTTCAGCATGTTCCTCCACAGGCTGCAGTTTCTGCCAGAAAACCAGCTCCTGTGCAGTTCCTCTTCTGCCAGGAGCCTGCTCCAGCACAGGGTCCTCAGTGGACTCCTATCTATTTTCCAGTGGTTACAGGGAATAACTGCTCTGTCGTGAGGTTCTCAAAGGCTGCATGGACACCTGCAGCACCTCCTGCCCCTGCTCATTCTCACCACAGAGCTCAGAGAGCTGTTTCTCACACTCTGCCCTCAGTTCTCACTGGTGGGCAGTGCTTTGTCCTTCCTCATACTTTACATCTCAGGGCTTTCCCTGAGACACCACTGATGTGACTGCAGGACTCAGCTGTGCCCTGGAGTGGCTCTGGAACCCTGTGTGTCTGGGGCTCAGAAAGCATTTCACCCAGCAGTCCTTGCATAAACAGCACTCTGAGCCTTAACTTTCAGGCTTTTAATGGAATAGTTGAACGTCATCAAATTAGACAGGTTCCTGGTAGTATGAAAAATTATAAAATAATTTTGCCGCTCTATTTTTATCCTATTGGTTTTTGTCCATGCTCATTTCAGCATAAAAGTACTTCCTTTGTGCTACACTTTAACTCCAAATTACCATCCAGCTTCAGCTAAGAATTGGAAATCAATTCCTAAAACATTATATTGATGACAAACAAATGATAGGCAATTCACAACAGGCAAACTGAAAACTTTTGGACAGAAAATCAACATAAATATTTGTGTACATACCAATGGAAAATAAGCTACATTCTAGGCTTCCTGAATTATGTGCAGATTCTTATTTCAGAGTACAGAGTAATTTGTGCAGAGAATATTTATTCTATTCCTGCTATGTGGATCAGGTTGTATAAAAATGTGTGATAACCTTGTTTCAGGTACCTGATAAGTAGTTAGCACAAAATATAGATCTGAGAAAATCCTGTGTGAATGTTTGTTATCTCTTATGGCTTGGATCTGCTAATATGCTGAAATACAGACTGTGTTGGAAGACAATAAGCAAACAAAGAATTGTTTGTTGAACATGCTGATAGGATGATGAACAGATTAGTTATTAATATTAAAAAGCATCATGCATAGGATATTCACAAAGCTTCCAAAAAGTAGAGGTGAAAGGAAAATTGTTTTCCTGTTGTGTCTATATTATAATTTTCTATTCTCTGGATTTTTTTTCTTTCATAGTGTAAGAAAGATAATGGGACATATCTCCATTAATGATCTGCTGCAAATACCAGAGTAAATGCTACCCCTAGGTTTTGGTCATTCCCAGATATCCAGGCTGCAGAGGACAGCTTAATGTACAAAATGACATAACTGTCTGGATCTTGAAAACTGAGAACTTTATCTAGAGACAGAATTGAAGTTCCCCAAAGTTCATATCTGAGGGTACAAGCAATGAAAGTACTGAGTGCTTGGTAAATTAAAATCTGGGAAGGGAATTATGTGCCAAAAATTATGTACCTGACAAATTTCATAGCTATAATTCATTTTTCCTTACTTGGAAAGGAGGTTTTGAAATAACAGAATGAGAAAAAAAAATAGTGTTTCCCTTTGTAAAAAGTAATGGAGACAAAAAATCTTAGTCATAACTATGAAGTTTGACCTGCTCTGTACAAGCCCTTTTTCCCTCAGTAATGGAACAACACTTAGAAGGAAAGGTTGCCACAGCCAATTGGCTGATTCAAGTTATCTGAAGAGTTCCTATAATACAGTTTGCATTTCTTCATACTTCAGTGTCTCATCATTTGTCAGTGAACACAATGAGAAGAGAGCAAAAGACAGCCAAAGCAGCAGATGTGACAATGTGCTCTGGCAGAGGAATGGAGGGGTACAATTAGGTGGGATCCAGAGGCTGTTAGTAGAGGCAGCAAGGCAAATTAGTAGTGTAAAAAGGTGATCTATTATTCCTTAGTGAGCAGTGCTGCAATTATTTTCTCTCTCTGCATGGCAGGTCTTCCCCCCCCCGCCCCTCCTGGCTTTTTAATTTTGCCATAGCATTAACTGAGTGAAAGCTCTGTCAGGGTTGCACCTAATATGGCTGGTGAACTTCTATCTTACATTTCACAGAGAGAAATTTGCTTGCACTCACTGAGCATTATTTGTGGAGGCTTTGAGATGTTTAGCAAAGGTGGGTCTGGTTAGCAGAGCAGGAGGACGTGCTGCACCACCAGGTCACCGCAGTCAGAAAGATCCTACAGGTCACTCAAAGTCTGCATGTATTTCTCTTTTCCTATGCAGAAAAAGTCTATGGGCAGAAAAAGCATGAAAAATCTTTTTGGTCCATTAGCCCTACAATTTAGAAGTAGGGTGGAAGTGAAAGGAGCACTCATTGGTAGGTTATCCTTTTTATTTTGCCATAAAGTTCAGCACTTTGTGACTTTTCCTGTGACAATGTAAATCACTTAGGAAATGCATGTTTCTACAACAACTGCATGTTGCAATAAAAATAGCAAGACACATTAGGGGGTAACAGGGAAAAAGAAGGATGGGAAGTAAATTTTTAACTATCTTTAGATGGAAAATGCAAGTCACTGCAAGATGGCAAAATTAATGGGTTCCACTTAACTTGAGATAGCTGAGTGAGCCTGCTGCCTGGCAGCCATTAGTGAGCCTGGGCTGAAAATTCTAAGCTGGAGAAAACCAGCTGGTAAGCACCATACAAACAAACCTGAATGCCTTGGAGCACTTGGAGCACATAGGCAATAGCAAGCAAGAGGCAAAACTGGAGTTTGGGAAATAGCATTTCAAACCGAGTTATTCAAACCGAGTGATTCATTTCTGTACGTGCTTCAGCCAAGTGGAAACACCAGCACAGCCTTTCTTCAGGAATTTCTGGATAAAGAAAAAGTAAAGGAAGGTAGATCACGTGTCCTGTAATCATACTGAGAAATACAGCTCTCTATGAATAACCTAGGGAAAAAGATACTCAGCTGGAATCAGAGCAATGAACCTGGCTTTATGACAAATCTGAAACTGAATGCATCTCTTAAACCTATCAGAAGGAAAATCATAATATCAGATACGTTTATCAAACATTTCTAATCAGAGAAGTATCTTAGTTTGAGAGAACCTATATAATCTTCAATGGGTTACTCATGATAATGATAATAATAAAAAAATATATTTTATTTGGATTTTTTTTCACTGATATATTGAAGGTATAGGAGAAGATCTGACTACGAGGCTACATATCTATATTTGTATTATTTATTTTCAGTATCTTTGCATTTCTTAAGAGATTGTCACATGTAGAACTTCACAGTTCACAGGATTATAAGCATAAATCCCAAAAAAATTGGAAAAAAAAAAGAGAACAATTTCTTATTGTTAGATTATTTATTTGTTTGGGGGTTTTTGCTTGGCTTTTTGTTGTTGTTGTTGTTGTGATAAGGCTTTTCCAAGAAATGGAGGTAGTACTTTCAAAATCATGCTTGTGCCCAGGCTAAAGCTGACAAAGAAAAGTCTTTCTGAAGGGATTTATACATAAAATAAATGGTTCTATATCTGTTAAGTTAATGGGTTTCTAAATTTATAAATTTACCTAGCTAATAATCAGTTACAAAATGCTTTAAACATTCTTTTATAAGTAACAAAATACAAATCTAATGTTAAGTAAAATATACATGACTTTTTCCTTTTTTATGCATGGATAAATTCCCTTTCATAACTGCCAAACATTACAAAAAGAATTCTACCCAAAATCTTTTTTGGACAAAAGATACCACATATGTGGCAATAATGATTAACTGTTATTCCAATTAACATTTTAACAGTCTAACTGTCCAAATAATTAACTAATATTTTTAAAAACCCTCTTTGGGAATAAAACTGGCATGAAAAACTTCCCCGTATTTACCCTTTATTTTTTTTAGTGCTAACCCTGTTTTTCTTTGGAAAAGCTTCAGTCTTGCTCAATGGCATTGGGAAAGGCAGGGACATAAAACAGTTTATCAGCAGCATCCAGAGGTCCTTACTGGAAGGAATACCATGTTCATACTGGCAGTTTTTCCAGAAGGGAAGGAAAATACATATTGGACCTACTTATTTCAAGACAGAAAACATGGAATCATTTAGGCCTTTAAAAGAGAATAACTGTGTAAGCAAATTTTTTAACACTTGTTCAGCCAAAGTATATTTACTGGATTTTGTTTAGGATGTCACAGTAAAGTGAAGACACACTGGGGCAAGAGGCAGACTTCCCTCTTGAGCCACCCCATGTCCATTAAAATTTGCTTTCCAGCACACCACGATTTGCAATTTTTTAAATACTATTTACTCCATCTTCCAGATCAGGCGTGAATACATTGAATAAAATGAATTTTAATGCATATGGTTTGAGTATCCATCTACATTTCACCCCACATTAAAGTTCACTTTGTTCATTGTCTTTCATCTAGTTTTTCCTCCATGTAATAGCAATCATATTCAAGTGAATGTGGATCCTTTTTGTAAGAATTTCAAAGGCATGCTCTTACTTTACTAAAATGCAAATATATCTGCTGCATATCTTTCATCCACTAATTTTGTAAGTCTATCAAAAAAGCAATCAAATTTGAGTGGCATGACTTTTTTTTTCTTTTCTTTTTGTTTATACTCATACTGATTTTAAAAAATTAATGGTTTTCATTATAGCAGCAAGATAATTCAATATAATGAAATGAGTGCCCTATAATAGTGAAATACAGAATAAATACAAAATATGAGAATTGGAACTTCATTTTAAAGTTGTGAGTAGCATTCAAATATTTCATTATAATCCATATATTTCAGGAAAGCAAATTAAATAATGCCATGTATAAAGATATTACCAAATAACAAAGAAGCAATGAGCTAGTAGATGCATTTTATTCTCATGGTAGGGTTCATGTGTTCTCCCACTCTAAGCCTGTGGGTCAAAATTCTTTTGAACAAACTGACATATGACATATGGATGTGCTCAAGGCCAGGCTGGATGGGGCTCTGAGCAGCCTGGTTTAGTGGAAGGTGGGAAGGGGTCCCTGCCCATGGCAGAGAGGTGGGAATTAGCTGATATTTAACAACTCAGATTCACAGAATATTCTGAGTTGGACTTATCTGACCCAAATTGTTCCATGATTCTATGACAAATGAAAGCATTGTCCAGACAAAATGAATGTGATTTATGCATTTTCTGAGGTTTTTTAACACATGTTCTGTTACTCTTGACTGATTGGCACCACAAAGATTTTAAAGTCAGGAGTGAACATAAAGCAGGCCACAGACTCTTCTTTGAAAGTTCTGAGAATTAATGGTTCTTCTCTCCATGTAATGATGACACAAACTTCAGCAACTTCCAGGTAAACTAAAGTGTGTCTTTTCAACACATATGTGATTTTTAACTGTGAGCCAACAGATTAATTGCCTCCTTGGTAAGTTGCTTCACTGGAATATAACCCTCATTTTGTACAGCTGAATATTATCCTAAATTTGATTGTTTTCAAGCTTCAGCTTTTCAGCTCTGTGTCTGTGTTTTTACTCTGACATGTTATGTAGCTTCCACTGGTCAATATCATATTCCATGGTGGATATCTACAATCCATGATCAAATCCGCCCTTAACCTTCTCTGCACAAAGCAGAAGCTACTGAAGTCTTTTAGTAAAGGTAAATATTCCAAGTCTTACTTACAGTTCATTTTCCTATAAGTGGCAGTGGTTTTAACTTAATGAATTAATCATCTGCCATAGATATTCCTGACCAGGTGCTTAAAGTCTGGGGAGGATGTTGAAACAGCTACAGGAATGGGTGATGTCATTATGTGCAGCTTTGACTGCATGAGCTGCTTCAGAGCGCTTCTAGTTGCTGTCAGACACGCTGCAGCATCCAAAACATGAATGGGAATGCTCTCAGGTTCTTTCTTGTCCTTGTGAGAATTCATGTGAGACCTCATAGGGGAGCCCAAGCTGTGAAAAGGTCTTTGGGTTTATCTTTTGATTGACTGAAGAACAGACTTGTTGGAAGACAGAACTGTGTAGGAGATGAAAAAAAAAAAAAGTATTAGTAATTTGCAGTTGTCATCCATAGCAGTGAGATGAGCTGACAGTGCCAGGGCTGCAGCTGATCTCTCCTTTCATTGATGAGGAGTAACAGAGCTGCTTAAATGTCAGGCATAAACAAAGCATTAACACTACCTTAGTATCTACTGCCCCAACTCTGTGGGCTCAGCTCAGCAGCTCTGTATTGGTTGCATTTCATGATTGTCAACAGACAGGAAATGAGTGACATAACTGTTGTGTACTCTGACCTTTCTGTAGTAATTTAATGTGTGGAAATCTTCATAATGGAGTTTTGACTGCAATTTTCTACTTTGGATTGAATTTTGAGGTCTGTTGTGGTAAAGGTCCTTAGTGGATCAGGCTGTGAGGAAAGTGTAGACAGAACCATTGTTGCTCCCAGCTTGCAAAGGACATTCTATGAAAGATTGAATACTGCAACTTGATTTTTTTTTTTTTTTTAACAAGAAAAATCACTTACCTGACTTGTTGAATAGTACATGTAATATTTATTAAGAATGTACCAGAAAAAGGAAATAAGATTGGAAAAAACCAGAAAAGCTCAGCTGCAAAATCCAATCTAAGTTAGTTAACAACCTCAGGAGTCTCAAGTAAATCCTTTTTATTTGAAAATATCTAAATGAGTCTTTTACATATACATCCTGGTTTAGATTTAATTTTGTTTTTTAACAGATTGTAGAATAGGACAACTTCCAAATTGAGATAAAGCACTCCTTTTTTGGATTTTGGGTAGAAAATCTGTTCCAGCATGGATGGAGGACAACTGTTCAATTGCTGCAGTTAACCATAAACTCAAGCCTTAATCTAAGAGTTCTTCTGAGGCAAAACCAGAGGCTGGATTCATGTAACTTGGAAGGGTGGACAATTACATGACCTTGAGACCCCTTCCAACCTAAATTATTATTAAATAAGATGTACTGTAGATATTAAAAAAGACATTTAACACTAGATAGTATAGGAAAGTGTACTCATATATGTAGACACTGAATATTATACAGTTACTTGCTTTACGTTTTGAAATACTAAAAATTCAAATTACAATATAGAGCGTGATTTTTATTTCAAAATAAATTCTGCATTTGGGACCCCAAATTTGCAAGTAGATAAAATTGGATTTACTCAAATATTATATATGAGGGATTAAGTTGTCTTTTCCTGTGTAAAATAAACAGAAAGCTCCTTAAGTTCATGTCAGTGACAAAGAAAAAAGCCTTCAAGAGAACGGTGATGGCACTTATATTTACTTAGCCCATCCAGTCCTCATATGAAATTCAGAGTCTTCTTTCTTCCTTTAAACCAGATCAAGGTAAAATGAGAGTTGAAGTCTCAAAATCACACTGATTTTTTAGCCCGAATTAAAGAAGATGGTAGGGTGTCACCTCTTAGTTGTTACAAGTCTCTTAATTGACCAATTAAGCAAGAGTGTTCCCTGTTCCCTTGTTTAACAAGTGTTCATTAGCCAAGATCCTGGAAGGAGCAAAGAGTGTGTGCAACAGCACTGCTGGGAACATCAGCCTGGCTCTGCTCACAGATAGGATGTCCATGATTATCGAATCCAATGAGTCACCAAAAAATGTAATGCTCTAAACTTCTCCTTAAAGGCTGGGTTTTGTTAATTGACAGCAGGTGACTGAGAAAGTTTAGATGAGTAGATCTTCCTTGAGACAATAAAACGTGAATAAAGATGCAATGCAGTTCACTAGACAGCTAAGGTTGTTTCTTTGCGTCGACATGATAATTGAAAACAGAACAATGTTCACTGGACCACCAAATTTTCTCACTGTTCTGCCGCTGAGCTCCCCAGACCTCTCTGGCTGAGGGTTTTCTGCTCAATTTGTGCAGGAGAGTCTGCTCTAATGGTTTACAGTGTAGACCAATCCATAGGGTTCAGTGTCTGCACCAAAAGAAACCAAATTTCTTACAAAAGCAATATGAAATCCTTTTTCTTCAGAGCAGAAAGAGAGTGAGGAAAAACAAAATGAAAACACACATTGTTTTTCACGAGCTTGTCTCTTATGGTATTTTTGGTGGTTATATAGCATTTTGGTCTGTAACTATTTATCCTGTTTTTTTCAGTTACTGACCATCATCAAGGTACTGTACTCTAATTTTGAAATAAAAAAAACAAAACTAAAAAGTATTCATTTATAACTTTGAAGAATATGAAGTAAGAGAGCATTATATATAAATACCAAGTGAAAAACAGAGAAAGGAATATTGAAATCTTAAGTAACTGAGAATTTTGCAGCCCTGCTTTTAGCTGAAATCTTAAATTTAGCTTGAATTTTAAAGACTTTAGTCTTTAAGATTTAGTGATAAATAGTCCTTTGTAATCTATAAATAGAGCATTTCCTGAATACATAATAGTGACAGAAGCCAAGGAGAGAATCTGAATTTGTGTGGGAATCCCAGTGTCAAGTGGAATGCAGTTCCCTTCAGAGACAGGTAAAATAAGAAAAGTTAAATGACATCGCATTATTCTGGACTACAAAGCAATAATGAAGAACATGAAACTCAGATAGTCTTGTGTATACCTGAAGAGTTATAAATATGTTCAAATTTAACTCTCAGCTGGATATTAATTAGCAATTCTGTTTTTTCCTTTTTATGGACAACAGTGTTTCTACACACTTTGCCTTCAAGCAAGTGCCTGTTCAAGCAGTACTGTATACTTCTCATCAAAGAAACAAGTTTATTTTCAAAGTATTGACACACTGTATTTTGAGACCTTTGAAAATCCTTGCTGTACTGAAGGCTGCTCAGCACAAACACAGAACCCTTGAAAATCCAGCTGTAATTTTAGGTACTGAACCTTTGAAAAATCAATCAATGTTCCTTTCTAAAAAATATAGGTCTAAATAATCTATACACTTAATAAAAAACCACCAACCAAAAAACCAAAAAACAAACACCAAAACCCACAGGAGAGCAACCACTCTGCATATTAAATATGCATTCATCAGTTACTTCAAATGTGAAAAGCAACAGTGACTCCTTTCTCACATTAAAACAAGGAAATTTTATACTGGAAGTAAAAAGGACAAGTGGTAAAATATAATGGAGTAAAATAAATGCTAAAGCTATTCTAGTCACTAATTAACCTTGTCTCACTTGATAACAAGCTCAAGAACATTTCCTGCTTTCCTGTACACATACATATCAGAATTGCACTGCAGAGAGTTTGAACTAGTTTGGCTAATTTTGCAAGTTCATTATGTTCCAGACTTAAAGGTCTTTTCTTGCAAAATAGAAGGAAATAATGTCAAATTAGGGGTTATATTTCCTTCCTAACAGGAATGTCATGTGCCTTGCCTCATCCAAGATGTACCACATGAATGCCATGGGTTTGAACATTTCCTTCAGTATATATTTCTGCCTGGAAAACATACACAATAAAAAAAACCCTTTTCCAAAGCTGCTATTAGACTGCTTTTCTTCAAGCACATCACAAAGAGATGATGATATGTCTTAGCAGCCCTGCCCTTCTCCCCCTAAATTTAAATATATATGACAGTACAAAATAGACATGTGTTGAACTAAATATTATCTTACTACAATTACAATATAGCTGTTGTGTATACTCCAAAGATACTGGAGGGTTTGAGGCATTGAACAAAGTTGTACAAAACCTTGCTTCAAATTCTATTCTTAAACTTCTCAGGAGCAAGTCATAATTTGCCAAAATTATTTTTAATTAAAGAAATGTACAAATTAATTCCTGTAATTATTACCAGCTCTGTAAATTGTTTAGAAGCTTTAATTATGAACATTTAATATTCAAAATTCAAGCTGAATTGTGATTAAATGTAGTCCTATTTCTGCTTCACTGCTGGATGGAAATAACACTTGGAATGAATGATTTCAGAGTATTAAAAATATACATTTAACAGTTAAAAAGTGTGAAACTGCCTAATATTCACCTAAAGTTCAGTTTCTTCTTGTTTAACATCTTCTTACAGCTAAGAAATACTGCTGGCAAAGAGCAAAAAATTTAGAAATTTGGAAAGAACTGAAAAGAGTTGCATAAGCAGTGCAGGTGAAGGTGAGAGATTTTAAGACCAAAAATCAAATAACATGTAGTATTGTGTTTAATTGTATTTTGTAATTGTAATTTGCTTGTTTTGTGTATTTGTGTTTCTACAAATCTTTACATAAAGCACATAGCTGCAGACACAGATTTGGTCAAGCTCTGTACTCTTTAAGCTAATTTTTTTACTGTGGCATAAATGCTTTGAGGCCCTATGAGCTTTGATATTTTCATCATTTTCATTACTTTTGACACAGACTTGTCCCAGGTTAGTGGCACATGGATTACCTGCTTCTCTCTGATCAGTTCCTGTGATGGAGTCTGTGCAGTGAAAAAATACCTTCTCAGTAATACCTCCTGAGGAGCAGCCAGAAAAGTCTATGATTTGTTGCCACACATTCCTACCAAACAGCTTTACAAAAGGTTACCAAGAAAGCAATTGTGCTTTTCTCTTAAAAAAACAAAACCACACACACACACAAAAACCACACCAAAAAAGCCCCTACAAAAAAAACCCTAAAAAAACCCCCAAAAAACTCCCCCAAATTAAAGGCTATTGAAGTCAGTAATATTCTATAGGAAAATGAAATTCATTTATTTCCCTCTGTGTGTATGAATCAAGGCAGTCCAGATCACTAAGGAATGTCCAATTACACAGGCACCTTTACCCTCTTTGAGTGTATATCCTAGAAAAGGACTGGGAGACTGGCAGGAAAAGGAAGACTTAATACTGTCTCATTCATTATGGTTTTCTGTATTTCATTTCCCAACTAATTAACCTTTTGCTGCAGAAAAGGTCTGTGTTAAGAAGCACAGCATAACAATCAAACAAATCATCATTATTGAAAGACTGCTTCTAATTTAAAATATTTCCACTCTTCAGAAAAAATGAAGTTCCATAAAAATCTTCCCATTCTCTCATCCCCTAAAAAAAATCATACAGGTATGCAGAATCTAAACTTAGAATTATTTTTTTTTAAAAATTTCCGTTTCCAGTTAATATTGTCAAAAATGTTTTTCTCTCAGCAATATAGAAAGACAGCATTTTTCATACCACAAATTGCAAATAATATATGAAGGGAGTTTATTATATTCAGACTTGTCATATGTTTAACTATGCATGACCTGCACTTCAAAGAAATAATGCTCAAGATGTACAGAAAGCATATGTACACACAAGGGGTCTCCCTTTCTATAGGCACCCACACACCTTGTTTGTATATGAATGCACATATGTGTGTCTGTGTATCTTTTTTTTTACAAGTATATATCCCTCCTTTGTGTATGAGAGCAAACAATACATATAAAATGTGATATGCAGTGTTTTTTATTGACTGAACAAAGTGAATGAGGTGAAGTTCCTCGTTCCTCTGCCCAGAAGTCTTTGTACACGGCCATCAACTCTGCCTTAGTAGAGCACTAGTAGAACAGTTGACTCCAAATATATTCTAATTTAAAGAACACATAAGACAAGACACTCTCAGAACTCGCCTCTCCTCAACATACTTCAAAATCAGCCACTCATAAAAGAGAAATATCTCCTTGGTGAGATGCTTTACTGCTGCTTTAATTTACCTGACAATCTATTTTGATGACTTCCTTAGTGACAGATATTCAAAAACTCTTCAATATGAATATACTTAATTTAAAATCAGTGAGCTAAAAACCTATAAAATGCATAATTTTAATAGTTTGAAAATCATAGTCACTATTATACAGGAAGTTGGTATAACCAGACATGATTATTAAGTGGATAACACGTTATGGTTGAAAGATTCCAATAGGCCCATTATGCTGAGAACATTTCTGGAAATAGATCCTTTTTTTTTTTTCCCCCTACATTTCTGCATTTTTAGAAATGATATTTCTTTTCCACATTTCAAATGTTACCTCTAACAGACAAGTGTATTTATGTGCAAATTTCAAAATGATTGAAATTGCCACTTCAAAGCCAAAGAGCCCTATTAGTGGCAAGCACTCTAACAACTTGTTCCCAATACCTTTTTCTGCTCTGCTCCCAAAGCCCAGCTCCTGAGTGCATCCCACTGCCCATTTCCCTGCTGTGAAGGACACAACCTACCCACCACCAGTTTGTGTATGAAGGAAATCAGATTAGAGTAGGTTATTACACAATACATTTATCATCATCTGTAGATGCTTCCTCACCTCCTGCTGAAGTCACAACAAGGGTTTTCCTGGCTGTAAAGACATGCACAGTTTTATAAGGAAGGACAGCTTTAGAGGCAGTTCTCTAGAAAATCCCTTTCCCTATGCAAGGGCTTGGGATATCACGGGCCATTACGAGGCAGAAGCTTGGAGATCAGAGCAAGCACATGAAAGATGCAGCAGCAGCAGCATCAAGGCTGTCAGACACAGTGTGAGGCTGGATTGACCGTTCTATCCATGACAGATATGCCACAATAAGAAAAGAAAAAGAGGCAGGAATTCTCTAGTCCTTGTGTTTGCCTAGAAATCTCCTGAAAATTCTACTTTGTGATCCAGTTGGGTTTTTTTTTAACTTTATGTGTTACATTCAGCATCCTGCAAGATATGCACCCCATCGTTTGAAGCCAGGGTACATATACATTCCATCTTCAAGCAGTGTAGCTCCCTCAGTATCTAATGAAACCAGTAGGGAGCTTAAGCATCCTTCAGGACATAGCTCTGGCACTTCTTACTGAAAAAAATGAGAAATAAGATGACTGTAGGGAAATAATTTATGCTATTCCTCTAGAAATCTCTGTAAGGATACTGAGGGAATATACTGACCACAGAATCTGAGTCTGCTACTCCGAAACTCCATAAATTAAAGATTTTGCACCACTACTGTCAATTACCAGCTATTATTATCAAGGTTGTGTTTTTTTAATAACTGGTGCTTGCTGTTTTTTTAATAACTCTTGCTTAATGAATGTTAATGAGGAGAACATGTTTCTTCTTCTATTAGAGGCCTCTGAGATCTAGTTTGGAAAGACATCAAAAGGGTAAGTTTTACTTTAAAAAATATTTTAAAAATGAAAGATTAGCTTCTAAATTATTGTGTTCTACCTTCCTTTAATTGATTGTCTTATTCAGACTTGTTTGAAGTTTGACATCAGAGCCCCAGTGGAAACATAGCCATGGATTAAGCACCAGTTTGACCTTTGTGCTACTGCACAAAATCTTCACTTATCTTGAAGTACATATGCAAGGCCTAACATTCTGATAATAAAGGGAAAAAAAAATGTAGTGGGTACCATGAAAGTAATAAATTCATTAATTAACACTCTTTAAATTATAATTTGAAGTGCCTAAGTGTATACAGAGTAATGTTTCTCTTGACAGGAAGGATTTTCCCAGATAAATGTGGTCAAATGTAGTTGGCTTTCTTGCTGCCCTTCGGAGGCAACACGCTCAACAATGTCAAAGGATTACAAATTAACTTTCTAAGTACAGTGGTTTTGGAAATATTATATTCAGTATTAATTGCAAACTTAACTCATCTTTTGTAAGAATCTTTCGTGTGTTTGTCAAGACAGTTTGGACATATTTAGAAATACCTAAAATGGTATTTCAGAAAATATTAATCTTAAACAGAAAAGCTTCTTTCAACCTACAATAAAATTGGTTTTACTTCTTACATAAGTTTAGAGCAATGTTCACACAGTACCTAGTTCTTAATTAGTAAATGATTTAGAAATTTCTGAATAACTTTTTTTAGTGAATTTATATACCAGGGCCCATTGGACTAAAAAACAAAATAAAAAATAAACCAAACAAACAAAAGGAAAAGTCAACCAACGAACAACACCCACACAACCAATTAATTTTAAGCAAAGTATATAAAATTATTATATCTGTTATGGATTAGGTCTAAGCATGACCTAAAAATGTTCATTTCTGGATAATATATTTGTCTTCTGCCTTCCCTAAAGGATGGAGTTCATCTCCTTGAACAGATGAACTTTCATATTATAAAATGCAATGTGGTCTTGAGGTTCCTCAGGATTCCTCAGAGGAAACACAAGATCTGATTCAGCTCTCTGACACGTTTAGGGAAGCACTGAAAAGAATCCAAAAATCATAAGCAGCAAATCCATTTCCCTTCCTGTGTTCTTTTCTCCCTGAATTGATGTTCTACATCATCTGCTGGGAGACAAATGACTTAAGTGGCCTGAAGCCTCAGCCAGTAAGCACAGATACTAATGAGAAAAAAAACCAATTACTTCCATGAACTGGACTGAACCTTTATCCATCACTACAGAAAAGCAGTTGAGCTATTCCTTAACGATGCTAAGAAGAACACATTGTCATAAGCACTGCTAACACAAGTACACCCAGATAATAAAATGTCTTTCTAATTAAGGTAGAGTTGAGGAAAAACAATGAAAACAGAAGAGATGAGGAAAAGGAAACTGTGAGAAGGTCAGCAGTCAGTTTTCTGCAGCAGTGCTAAATAACATTAACATAGAAGTGAAGAGGCAGGCAAATGGAGAGGAGAAATCAAAAATAGATTCAGTTCTTAAACAACATTTAGAACATAAGAGTTTTTCTTCCATACAGCTCCTGGGATTGTTTGCTTCTTCCAAATTCTATGGTAACTTAGAGCTCTGTATATGTATTAATGTTTAGGAAGATTATAGCTATCTCTCAGAGACTTGGTTATATAATTATATAAACTGCAAGTATGCAGTGCTCCTTGTACTGTATATTTGTGGAATTAAAATATCAGTCTATGTTCAGGCTTTCAGTGTAAGGCTCTAGAGACAAAATTCACCCTGTGCTGTATCTATATTTGAAGATATCTCATGGAACCAGTCAGATTTGGCCTTACAAATGCCTGTATCTCTTTCCCCTGCTTGGTTCATTTCCTTGGGAATCCCATGCTGGAGAGACAGCAAGGGTAAGGAGTGTGGGGATACAGAGAAAAGCGTGCAAAAAACCCAAAAAAATGCCCCTGGAAAAGCCTGCAAGCCCATAACTCAGCAACCAAATGAACTCCTCCATCATGCCCTTGAGGCTTTGATAGATGATTAATAATAGTGGGAAATTCTAAATAAATCTGACTATATAAGATTTCATAAAAGTTGCATACTTGGAAAGTGTTCACAATTTGTGGAAGGTCAGACCATTCTAATTATATCTTGTCTCCAAATGTTCCTCAACTCTTCTGTCAAAATGCCTGGAACTTTTTTTTTTCCTTGCCTGTTTGTTCATCTGTTTAGAGTAGGTAATCATCTAGAAAGCATTTTTCATGTTGTGAATTTCAGACAACATCCTCCCAAGAAATTGCTTTGAGTCATGGAAAGGTCATCTATGGGAGTACAGAAATATAAATTAGTAAGAAAATTACTGGACTTTATATTTACTCTAATATTGACTTTTAACATGTATACTTTAAGGTTGAAAGAATTTTGTGCATAGAGATGAACTAAAATCAAATGTTCTGATAGTTAATTTTAAACTCCAACATGCATCTTACTGATCAGCACTCCAAATTAATTAATTGTAGATACAGTAATAGTTGTCCACAGATCTATGTGCAAATCCACTCCATATTTTAATCCCTCAGTTTTTAAGGTCAATATAGGTCTTATTTCATTGAAGAGATGAGTAAAAATGAATTAAATAATTAGAAATCTATTAAACTTTCATGTCTAGCATCCAATATGCAACAGCTTTATCAAATCATTTGGAACCTGAAATAAAAAATAAAAAAGGGACTTGGGAAGATTATAGTGTGTTCAGATCTGACCCAATATATGTGATTATCCTATATCTTCTCCCTTTTCCAAAATGATGGGGTAATTTGATGCTTTTCTTTACAAATAGGTAGCTGGAATTATAAGGTCCTGTGCCCAACAGCTCTGAATTAAATCTGGTTTAAAAACAGTTTAGTAAACTTCCACTCCAACAGAGCCATGGAGAGATTGAACTGTGCATGTATATACTTAATTAGACTTTTCATCCATTAGGAATATGAAAAACGTGTGTCAGATAGCAAATAATATAGGATGAAGTCATGTCAGCTTTTAATGAGAGGAACAATCCTGTCAAGGCTCTTTTACCTCCAGGGAGACAGAATGCTCACATATTACCTATTCTTCTTTCGAATAGTTATCAAGTTTAAATTTCTCTTACCTCAATTAAATCACATTGAGTTCATTATAATCTAATTTCCTGATCCAGAACCACTTAACTTTTTCTTAATGGTAGTAACATGCATATACTTAATTGTGTCTACATTTTTCTTCTGTGGAAAAACCAAAGGATGATCTGGCATTGTAAGCTGAATATTTAATGCAAATCCACTATGTGATATTGCTGTCTTTCTACTATATTTTTTTGAAGCACAAGATTTTCATACCTACTTAAGTAGAATTTTGTTGCTGTTGAAACACAGGGTTTTTGCTTTGTCCCCATACCCTTTCCTCCACATGCATTATGCTATATATATCTCTCAACAGGTTTTTCACAGAGTTCTCTAGGCTGCACAAAAGCTCAGCACCTAAATCTTTGATGAATGTATCACTAAATAGATTGAAAAGGAAGTTATGATATGGATTGCAAAGTCATATGGAATTCCTCAGAGAGGATTTTTCCTACATGGCAAACCATAGTAAAAATATTTATTAATATTTACTAATATTTTATTAACTATTTACTAAAACACTGCAAGATATTAAATTTTTAAGAATTATTTTTCAAATATGGACACTATGAAAACACTTTCTTTTTTTGTAGCTTTCCCAGATATGCTTTTTCCTCAGTAACCAACATCCCACCTTCAATCATGGCTGTGAATTTTTTGCCTCTATTTTTCTGTTGAATGTATATCTGAAAAAAAAGGGCTGGATTCTGACCTGGTTTAAGATAGAAGTTTTTAGAGAAGCCCCACTAAAATCAGTGGAGTTTTTCACCATGTGCCTGGAAGTCAATCTGTTTCTTTCAAACCCTTCCTTAGGGGCTGATGGGAATGTCCTTATTTCTGGCAAGGTTTTATTTTTTTGAAAATGCTTATCACTTGGTTATGCCTGGTGTAATGAAAGACATCTGAATTAGATTATATAATCTCATATATATATATATTTTTTTTTAAATACTGCCACTGTTTATGGAGTAGCAAGGATGTGTCTCTGCCTTAAAAACCATGGTAAAGTGCTTCATGCAAAATGTCATGCTGCTCTGTCCTAAACTGTTTCCACTAAGGGTGAACAGGGTTTAAAGGTGGCTCAGGTAGCTCCTCAATTTATTCAGTCACTGCTGTGTAGGTACAACTTGTGACAGGTTCCCTGGTTTTGATTTTGTCACATACAGAGCTGCAGGAGCTGCTGAAATCTTCCCAAGATTTCCAGAGCTCTGTGTAGGATATCTCTCATACATACCATCATGTGGGTGTTTACTGAGCATGACATAGCTTCAAACCATCAGTGCCTTTTATCCCCTACGCAGTCTGAAGGCGTTTGACAATGCCTTCCTCTTGCAAATGTGAGAAAAGAAAGACTTCTCCAACTGTGTTCTCCAAGACTTTAGCCACAGATTAATCATCCCAGAACAGCAACAACTACAGTGTTCTCATAAGTATGTTTTACTTTATACTACAAAAAAGCAAAAAAAAAAATTTCAGCTACTCATATTAATCCAAGGAGTAGTTTCTACAAAAGGCAGTCGGTTTCATGGTCTGAGTCTGGTCTTGTACTCATTTTATCCCAAAGTAGTCAGAATATTTGTTTTAAATGACTTTTCCAAAATTAAATCCAAGACCAGCTAATAACTTTGCCTTTCCTATGCTATAGATTCATTTTTGCCTCTCATGTTAAGCAAGATCAGAACTCCATAATTTTATGTTGTCTCCCTCCCTTATCTTTTGGGATCAGTGGCCAGTTGTGAACCACATTGGGAAGCACCCATTTGCACCTGTAATGCCATGGTGTTTGAGGAGCTGACTGTGGGGTGAGAACCTCCTTAGCACAATTTGCATACTCCTGCCCCTACACCAAGAGGGTGAGATCTTTTTTTCAGACTTCCTGAAACCTTTTACATCAGCTTAAAGTTTATATTAATTTTCACACTTTTTATCTTTGAACAGATGTCTATATATGTGTGTGTGTATGCCTGGAAAGTGTTGTATGATGTTCCAGCCCTCAGAACATCTTTCCTACAAAAAAGTTACATCCTGCTTGAAAGCTTCCTTGGAATTGCTGAGATTCATTGTATTATAAAAATGCACAGTTTTGTTAGGATGCAAGGATTTCTGGCTGCACATTATTTTTGCTGTAAAGTGCACTGAGATGATAAGCTTCCAGCAACTCCGTCCAACTCAATTATCTGCATCCTTCCAGGTGGAGACGTCAGGACTTTATGCCATTTTTGTAATTTCACTATTTTACAGCTCAAACTTCTACATGGAGCCAGAGCAATCTAAAATTTTAAATGTCTATTAAATTTCCCACCCCTCTGGCAACCAATATGGCAGCTGCTCTACGACATCAAGAAAAAATTGCCCTCTTGGAGATGAACTTTTGGAAAATGGACTACTCCTTTTATACCATAACTTGCTTTAAACATGAGGCAGAATGACCTAAATTTTGATCTGTGCACATTTGGCTCAAGTCATGCAGCCCCATATCATTTTCACCTTTACTTAAAGACTACACAAATGAAGATAGAACTTCTTCCTCTGAAAAACACCTTTGTGCTTGAGTTGTATTTCCCTCAAGGCAACCTCCAGGAAGCAAAAATAATCCAAGGAGCAAACTTTCCAAATCAAAATCAAATAAATGGAGAATGAGACAGCATCTTTTATGGAGACAACCTCCTTCAAGCCTTTCCTCTGATGTTGATGCTACCAGAGCTCTATACTTTGAGATATGTTGACGGAAGCTGTCATATGGAAAAGAGGAATCAATACCAAAATAAACCCTAATGGCTCAAATTTCAGTTGCACTCACTACTTATTAAAAAATAAATATATACTTTAGGATGGTAAAGTTGTAAACACTGCATTAAAAGCAGCCAGTAAAAACTATCTTGCCTAGTACATAATGACATATTTACAGAATTTTACATAGAGAAATGCTAACAAAGTTTGTGCATTCATTGTGTTTTGTAATTTAAAATATCCTCTTGTTATCTTAAGAGACAAACTTTAGAAGAGCAGTGACTCAGGTGATCCACATCACATTTTGCACAGCCTGGTTGAAAACTATGCCTTTAGACATCTTGTGATATGACAAATGCAATGTACATTTTCTTCCTTGAGGCTCCTTTAAAAGCAAATTAGAGGGGGATATTTTTAGAAGTTTATTTCCCTGAAAGATCAGATAGTAATCTCTACTCTACTCTTCCTTTTCTTTACATATACTGCTCTTTAAAAGGGAAATATACTTTAAGAACCACACAGCATTTCAGCGTCAAATACAACTATTAACAGATACACTGAGAGAAAAACCCACTGGTCATAGAAGAATAATTAAAAAAATTCAGAAAGTTCCAGAAACTTTTGCATTCAAGTCCCAAAGATATCGAACCTAAGTTTTATTTCCAAATACACTCTCCAGTTTATCAGCTAGGTAATAATTTTATTTCTGGTAAATATAATTGAAGAATGAAGACTGAGATTCAAGATCCAAAATCAGTTGTCCAATAAACCTGAGGCATTGACATAGGAAAGTTTTTCATCTAATTTTTACTTCTTTTATTCATATTTTTTTAATTTATTGTGGGTTTTAAATATTATAGATGTCTCTAATGGGAGAAATGCACTAGTACTATTTCTAGAAATTGGATATCTAAGGTCATGAGGAAAAAAAAAAAATCAGTTTTCATCTATAATAAGTACCAGTTTTCATTCGAATGTTATTGTAATTTATGGAGTAATATCTAAGCAAGTTAATTAATTGATCAAATATGTTTTCCTAGAAAGGCAAAATAGTCAATAGACTTCAGCACCAAGGTGCTACATTCACTACAAAACATTACAAATTAATGCTTCTGTGTCCCGTTTGTCCTAAACTTCAGCAATACATAAACATTAGGCCAAACTCACAATGTACCTATAATAAACAAACCTTATTTAGGAGGATAAACTCGAACCTGACTTTCAGCCATTCATCCTGTCAAAATCCATGGTCCCAGCTAGCATTTTTTATGTCCTAATGCTCAATTTATTGTATTTATTCCTTTGACAGATAGTGAGGTTTCAGTGATAGCACCAGCCCGGGAAGCCCCTCCCTGCAGCTGTTCTTGTCAGGCAGGGTCACAGCATTTGCACATTGGTGCCTTTATGCAAGTACCTGAGTGCACTTATCAGCATTTCCTAAGGCACTTATGTTTGTAAGACAAAGTAGGAGCTTGAAGAATCACTGCAAAGGGTTCTTCAGAGAGGTACAGGAAGCTCAATTGTCACTTCAGGAAATTGTGATCTCTTTAGAATACACAGGTCACGTGAGAAATTCTTCAAGGCTAGCAAAAGTCTTTAAAAACCTGGTTATACTGCATTAATGCTAATCAATTAGTTCTTAATGAGCACAGTGCAAAACCCAGCTCAGCTCTGGCAGGTGGCAAGGTGGTAGGAGAAGAGTTTTGCTGAAGGGCCCTTGTGGCATACAGGTCCAGGTAGAAAAAACTTGAAATAACTGTGGGAAAGGTAGTAGAGGAGATTTGGGTACCTTAGGCAAGATAGAAAGCAGACAAACTGAGTGCTAAGTGTTAGAAAACGCGAATGTGCACGGGGGAAGAGCAGGATGGCAAAAAGCTCTCAGTGGTGGAAGGCAGTATATTTGGCAGCTAACTCTCAGAAGTTTAGAAGTAGTACTGACTCAAGGGAGAAGAGCACAAATTGTATTTGTGATTGTTAGAAAAGAAAATAATGATTATCTTGGAAAGATGTTTTGTGGAGTGGTCAGATACAGACCAAAAATTACAGACAATGTCTCCCATGCAAACGAAGACCAACAAAGGCCACCAACTTAGTGGATGGTGGAAAGGCTGTGGGTGTCGTCTCTCTGGACTTTAGTAAAGCCTTTTTGACACCATTTTCCAAAGCATTCTTTGGAGAAATTGGCTTTTTATGACTCAGGTAAGTACACTGCTCACTGTCAAAAACACTGTCTGTATGGCCAGGGCAGAGTTGTGGAAAATGAAGTTACATCCAGCTGGCTGCTGGACAAAAGTGATGCTCCCAGGGCTCGGTTTAGGGGTCAGGTGTGTTCAGTACCTTTATCAGAGGTCTGAAGGAGGGGAGCAAGTGTGCCCTCAGTCAGTTTGCAAATGACACCAAGCTGGCAGTGATCTGCTGGAGGGTAGGAAGGCTCTTCAGAGCAATCTGGACTGTCTGGATTGATGGGTCAAGGTCAACTGTGTGGGGTTCAGCAGGGTGAAGTGCCAGGTCCTGAACCTGAGTGACAACAGCCCCATGCAGTGCTCCAGACTGGGACAGAGTGTCTGGAAAGCTGCCCAGTGGACAAAAGCCTGGGGAAGGTGGTGAACAGCAGCTGAACAAGAGCCAGATTGTGCCAAGGTGCCCAAGAAGGCCAATGGCACCTGGCCCATATCAGCAGTGGTGTGGTAACCCAGACATGGCAGGGGTTGTCCCTCTATACTGGAACAACACTCCAACATGGACATTGAGGTGCTGGAGCACATCCAGAGAAGGGCAATGGAACTGCAGAAGGGTCTGGAGCACAAATTGCTGAGGGAGCTGGAATTTGGAGAAAATGAGACTCAGGAGAGACCTCATCCTTCTCTACAACTCCCTGAAAGTAGGTTGGAGTAGTTGGCTGGAGATCAGCCTTTTCTTCCAGGTAGCAAGTGATAGGATGAGAGGAAATGACCTCAAGTTGTGCCAGGGAAGGTTCAGATTCAATATTAGGAAAAATTTCTTCATTGAAAGATTGGTCAAGCAGTGGAACAGGGTGCCTAAGCAAGCAGCTGACTCACCAGTCCTAAAATATTCAAAATACATGTAGATGTGGTGTTTAGTGCCATGGCTTAGTGGTGGACTTGGCAGTGATAGATTAATGGCTGGACTGCAGGATCTCAGAGGCCTTTTCCAACCTCAGTAACTCTGTGAATCCATGACAAGATGCTTAAAATGTGTTAAGAACTCATAAGGGAACAAGTTGGGATGTTTTAGAAAGTTGAGAAATTTTATGCATTCAAGTTTTGGCTAAATTAAATTTTAAAAAATCTGTAGGCTACAGAAAAGGATTATTGCAAGTCACCAGGAACGTGAAGGGGTGATGTTTTTGGGCACTGTAAAGAGCTGGTAAGAGAAAGAGCAAAAAATGTTAATAGACAATGGGTGATGTGCAGGAGAAACAGTCATCTCAGTTTTGCAGTGAGGGAAACTAAAACCATAAAATCTACTGGCAAAGTTCTGAAAACCTTGAGATGTTATTGTTTCCATCAAATTTAAGTATGCATCTGTAAGTTGTAATGATTTCTGTGAAAAGAGCAGAAATTTTGTGTCCACCTCTGTCTAAAAGATATGAGGGGGAAGGACTCTCCTTCTTTCAAAGTTTATCTGTGGTGCAGTTCTTCCCAAAAAAGATATGGAAAACCCATATATTTCAATATCTTTGCTGCAAAAATAACCTCATAAGAATTTTTTTTTATGAAGGAGACTAGCTAGACTTAATAAACTTGCAAATCTGGTCATTACCCTATGAAAAAAAATTACTTCCATCCTGGAATGGGAATGCCCACATGGAAGACATTTTATTGAATAATTATTCCATGTAGACTGCTTCCATAATCATAGATAGATCAACAATTACAGTCTGTGCATGCAGTACCTAAGAGAAGGGATTGTTTTTAAATCATGGCAGTCAAGGTGTCAAAGCAGAAAAGAGTTAAAAAATATTAATTAGAAAATATATATGAAATTTATTGAAGTACAAAAACACATAGCTAAAAATAAATGTATTCATTCCAATGCCAGGTAATTTTAAAATTTCAGTAATCATTCCTTATATTAGAATGTCCCTTAAACTAGAGTACTGTTTTACAGGATTATTTGAGCGTGTCAGTATCGTGACAGACATCCTAGCTAGATTTTGTTGGAAATACAGGCGATTTGTGAGGTACAAAATTGTCTTTGAAAGCAAATGATGTAAAATTAAACACTTAATTACATAATTTTTACCTAGTGGTATTGATCCTTTCACCTTGTAATCTGTTATACCAAATGTAACATATACAACAAAACATTTAAAATTTCATTCTGAAAGGCAGAATTTAGATATTCAATAGTAAAACAATGGAACTGCAACAAATACACATTCTGATCTTTTCAATCATGTACCACAATATAAATATACTCACACTATTGTACTATTCAATTAAATGTACATTGAAAGAAAAAACTGCACTTAGGTTAAAACAATATCTAGTGTAATAAAACTTGCCACTTTAGGCTACTGTCCAGTAACATTAAGAAATAAATTCAGCAATTTATAGTGAATGTGCTTACATATTTTTAAATATTATTTTTGAATAATATTTATTTTCTCTTTTATTTTCTTTGGGAAATTTAATGTTTTCTATATATATGCCACTTGGGCAATGAAATGTTTAGGACAACAAATCCTTTTCTGCTCAGGACAGAAATTGTTGTTATTTAGAGAAGCCTCAAGTATTTGAAATCAAAAGCTTTTATTAACAAGTGCAGGTTGGAATTTTGTGATTGTTCATTATTTGTGAATTTCACAAATATACATTTGTACTTGGAAAAACACAGAAGGACCTGATTTATTTAAATTGTCCTATAATCAACAAAAGCTGCCTAAAACTGAAATAAGAACATATTCTGAGAAGACACCAGCTAGGAGTTTGGCAAACTTATCCTGTATATTCTGCTATAATTTTCTTTTGCATGCATGAAAAAATAATTTAGGGCAGAATCCTGACTCCACTGAAACCAATGGCAAGCCCTCACT